CTTTCTTTCCCTTCGGTTCTAGCCATATCCAGCTGGGCAGCAATTTCGTTTGTGCTTATTAATGAATGTTGTTATGTCTGGTCAGGGTTTGCCCATTACCCCCAGATCCGTCCTACCAATTTGTTGTGCCTTTCTCTTATTTATTACATTTGCCTTGTTGAGGTCAGTATTTGTTCGACTGAGTCTGGAGTGCTCCTGCCCCGCCCTCATTCTATTTGAGTCCCATAAAAGCTAACAGCCCCGGGCATTAAGTGTGTTCTCATTTGGTCCCGGCCCTGAGCCTTAATTAATATGAATTAATTTTAGTGTTAATTGCAAGTGGTGGGGAATGGTTTACGCTCTCAATGCATGTGGAAGATTTCTAGATTTCTGTCTGGCCCTTCACTTACACGAAATGAAAGTGTTGGCACTGCGAGAAAAGAAAGGAAAGCCTTTAAATACTGAACATCTTTTTGAAAGGGTAATATTATGAAACAAAATTTCAGATAAATTACAAAAATATTTAACAAATAGTTCAGGAAAAATATTGGAAATTAACATAAATTCTTAAAGCAATTTCCACTGGGCCATAAAACGTTTCTCGTAAACATCAATCACTTTCAGCAGCAACAGCCAACAATTAGGAATTTCTTGGCACATAACAAGTAATTAGCTTAGTTTGGAATACGATTCGAACATTATTTAGCAAAAAGCGGCTCAAGTAATTTAGTTAATGACTTCATTAGACAATTACTCAACTTTGTTTATGGTTTACAAAGGGGGAGAGCATTTTTCTAGCAGTGCACGAATTCCATTAATCGAACAATGCTTATCGATGGTATAGATCCTTTTGCTAACAATGAAACAAAAAGGCGAGGAGCAGATTATCAGGGAGCATTTTTTGCTATTGCTTACTGTAATTAATATTAAGTATACGCCCTGTTTGACAGCTTTCAGTTTTTATCTGGCTAAAGAGCCTCGAAAACGTCACGTAGATAAATAGAGCCACTAAGACCCGATGTCAGAGAGCAGCTAAATCAAATTTCGCCCGCAACATTTTTAGTTTATTTTTTCGTATTTCGCCTATCTGCTCTCTTGAAGGCCAACAAGAAGGTGGACGAGAGTAAATAATAAATAAATATTTGGAAAACGTTTCGCTAACAGGACACGTACTGGGAATTAACCAGGGACGGGGGGCAGGGGGATAAGGACGACGGTTTCTGCTAGAACGGAAGCATCTGGCTGTGGCCAAGACGTGCCCAAGTCTTTGTTGACTAAAGCTTAGACTCGGCCGAAAACTTTTGGCTGGCCATTAAAGTTTAAAGATGAAGGCGACAGCTTGCAAAACCGCAGAGGATTTGACCCCGGCGAATATAATCCATCCTCGGCCCCATTCCCCCATTTCCCACATACCTACATACATACTTTAAACGATTTCCCTCTCTCTTCGCGGTTGACTAACCGCACTGGAGGTTTTCGGCTTTCGGGGATGGCGGTTCTCGAAGCCCGCATAGATTTACAATCAGCTGCTGCTTGGGCCTTATGCCACAAATCATAAAAACGCATCCACACACACGAGCATATGTTCGTGTTAGTTCATCATACGCCCTCCTGCGGCCATGTGGCCTGCGTATACGTGATATTTTATGGGTCACTCGCTTCGCAGTCGACGGTCGACGGTCGACCCTAAATCCCAGGGATGTCCTGCCAGCCGATTCCTAACAAAGCTCGCACTTCGTATTCCGCTGAGGCCGTAAAAATAACCGCTCCTTCTGCCTTCAGCCTTCTCTTTTCCGTCTTTTCTCCCGGGAGACTCGTGTGAGTCGTGTAAGTGTAATCCTAGCTCAAACTGTATCTCATTACATTTGATTTACAGATAATCAGAACTCGTAGATGGCGGCTCCTTGCTTAAACACTTTCTCTCGACGGTACTTAGACTAAGTTAAATATATATCCCCAACAGGCATTGAAAGTTGGAGTTTGCTAGCGTAAGCAACTAGTGGAAAGTATGGGTTTCATACAGAAAATAAAGCATAGCTAACATTTTTCTTCTTGTTTAGCTATTTAAATAACATTAGCAATCACTAATAATTAAAAGGTTTTTATTTCCAGACATTCTACAGTCTGCACATTTAAAATTGCAGACCAGCAAGTAATAAATTCCTAATAAATACCAAATAAATAACTAAACCTCCGCTAGTGCATCCTAAATATCCCATTTAAATATAAAATATTCCCCATTGAGTTCACTGTACTGCCATACAGACACCATAAAATTGCATAAACGAACAATTCAATTAACCAAAATTGCAAACGTTTTTACACATCGTTAAATGCCCAAATGCACAGAAATGGATTCGGCAAAACGATGTCAAAAAAATTGTTGTGAATTTCATTTATTCCCAAACGACTCATATTTTTGGGTGGCACTCTGACAAAAAGAAAACCTCCGCTCAGTTGACCCGGAAATAGCCTGAAAAAAGGTGCAACCACCCACAGCAAACAAATGCATGTACAAGTGGCAGTCAAGTGTCCAACAAATTTGCACAGATTTCTGCATCCGAAATTTCATATGCATCTGTTTGGGCCTCAAATGGAAGCCGGCGATGAATGTATGATTTATTTTTAAGACCGACTGCCCCTGGGGAGAAACGCCGGTACAACATTTAACAGAAAACATTCAATTAAATATTACGAAGCGGTTTTTTCCCTTAGCCAAAATTGCAAAATGTTCTCGCTCAAAAGAGCTCGAGCTGAAAGCCAAACATTACACGAAAATTGTGTGTAAAATTAAAAGAAAATGGGAATGAGAGCTGGGGATGTTGGAAATAAATTGAGCAAAATGGTGGCAGCTACTTAAGTGAAAATATTTTTGCGCTTGTAATAACTTGGCTGCTCTAACCACAGTCTGGGCCTGGCCAAAAGGAGAGTCGAAAAGCGCAACACGAAAGGCGCTTAAGTGCTGTGGCTTTGGCCTAGAGGTGGGTAATGGAAACTCATGAAGCCAAGAAAATCACGTTAATTTGGGATGAACTACATTTCTATGGATTATTCGAATTTTTGCGGCGTAAATCCCCAAGAAGAGAAATAAAATTGTAACATTTTCTTTAAGTTTTAGAATTTTTGCAGATTGAATGCAGCAAAGCACTGCTTGAATTTCATTCTTTGCTCATAACTTTTTAATGAATGGTCCGATTTGAAAAATTGGTTCTACATTTTAAAAGAAATTAATAAACACAAAAAAATTTAATTTATATTTGTCCTAAATCTTAAAAAAAGTGGGCGCCAGACACATTATAAAGTCGCCCAAGGCAATATGTGTATAACTTTAAAAAATTAAAGAAACTGATTATAAATCAGATTTTAAAATATATTAAAAATCTATTTTCCTTTTCGTGAATGCACTGACTCACCTGGTTCCATCTCTAGGCAGGCCTTTTAGATCTCGGCTGCATTCATACGTTTTCGATTAAGCTCGTTCTTGGTCTACTTTGCCGAAAACGGAAAGCGGAAATTTACACAAAGAAAGGATGTAGCACACGACCGGCTATAAGACGGAATCGCAGCTGTAGCTGCTCTGCGCTGCCACGGGCCCAGGTCCAAAGTGGGCTAAAATTGTAGCACGAGTATGACTGACAGGCCATTAATTTTGGATTACCCGGCCAGGACCACTATGGGGCTCTATGGCTCTCTGCTCCAGCCAAGAGCCGCCGACAAAAAGTGCATATACACTACTTGGTACACTTGCAGGCGGCCCTCAGACGAGGCTGTTAAACATTTCATAATGCCTCGACACACATTTCGGCCGTTCCGTGGGTTCGGCGGTCGTTAACGTTAATGACAACTTAAGTGGTCATGTATAATTTCTGTAAATTATTGCCTGCCTATGCAACAAACTGGTAACAATGAAGTGGCCCAAACAAAATCAGCCTTTGGTGAAAGGTTTAAGGAGTTCGCTGTGCCGAAACTTTAACTTCAAAGCTGCTAGCTTTCATAGTTTGTATTTTTTGAAAACACACTAAGTGTTTATTTTTTCTCAAATATTATATAAGTTATCTACTTGAGCTTGTAAAGTATTTTTAATCAAACTGCAACCCATTTTAAAACCAATTATATTAATTAAAACATGAAAGCTCGAGTAGTAAATCGTGGGCCTTTGTGGCGGCGATGACAAAATAATAACATCGGTCATGCCATAACAAAGGCGACGACAAATCCAATTACATAATAAGCCTTTTAAGGACTTACAAGCCGAGAAACGTAAAGTTTTCATGTCGACACAAACTGCCGACTCAGAGACACTTTTCGGCAAGACTCCTAAGCCACTGAACCTCCTGCAAACCGACACACCCAAAAGATGTCGGGACCCGAATTCAATTAATGTAATTTAGTTGAACATGGTAACTAATTTGGCCACCTTTGGCTGGATGGAAAATAAAATTGCGACTAATTAGGTAATGAATGATCCAGATCCCGGAATTCCGAGAGGGGGCTTAGAGGGAAACTTTCCGAAAGTTTAGTCAGCTCTAACCCTTTGCCAAACTACTTAGGACCAACAAGGAAGTAAACCACGTCCATCAACTTAAATATTAAAGTGTAAGACTCGCATAAGTCAAGCAGTGCAAATGTACAAATCTCGAGGCATAAATCACAATTTCTTTGCCATTAAGACGAGACCGCAAAGATTTGCGGCTCCGCTGAGTTTGCCGATGGCAAGGGAATCTGCCGCCGTTTGGTGCCGAAGCCCAGCTGTGTCTGTGGCTTTGACTGCCGGCTCACGACATTTAGCCGGAAAAAAGTTACAAACTTAGGGCTGCCTTAACTTACCAGCTTAATGGCCATAAAGCTTGTAATGTCTAACAAGAGAACTGAGATATAATTTAATAAAAAATTATATGAAAAAAAACAAATAATATTTTTTATTGACCAAATCAATCAATATTTAAAATCGCTTAAAATACAAAAAAAGTGTTTGCAATATTCAATAATTTTCACCCAATTTCTTATTGATCAAAAATCGCTTGAAATAAAAAACATTTAATAATTAACAACAGTTGATCATTTCCTCGCCCAACTTGAGGCCCTTCGCGATGCTCTCCTTCAGGATCGGCAGCATGCACTCCAGTGCCTGCTTCTCCGCATCGTCCATCTCGGGCAGTCCGATATTCTCCTTGATGCCCTGGGGTCCCAGGATCAGTGGGGTGGCAAAGAACTTGGCATCGGTAACATCGGACTCCACATAGGCGCACTCCACAATGCACTGGTCATCGTCGCCCGTTCCCTTGATTCCCTTGATCAGTGAGTTCACAAAGTTGGAGGCGGCGTAGGCCATCGATAGGGTGGCCGATCCCTGGCCACCCTTGGCATTGACCACCTCGGTGCCGGCCTCCTGGACGCGATGGATGAGAGCCTCGCGCTCCTCGTCGGTGCCCTTGTAGGCGGGATCACATTGCGACAGGATGGGCAGGATGGTGCGACCCGTGTGGCCACCGATGACTGGCAAATACACAGACTGCGGGTCCACATTGAGGATATCGCCCACAAAGGCCTTGGCCCGCACCACATCGAGACTGGTGACTCCGAACAGTCGATTCGGATCGTAGGTTCCCTTCGCCTTGAGGATCGTGGCCACGATCGGCACTATCACATTGATGGGATTCGTGATGAAGGCCAGCAGGGCGCCGGGACAAGCGGCGCTGGCCGCATGGGCCACCTCGCAGGCCACGCTGGCATTGACGCCCACCAAATCCTCCCGCTTCATGCCCGGCTTGCGGGGCATCCCGGCCGGCACCACCACTATATCCGCCTTGTCCAGAGCCTTCTTCATCCCATCCTTGCCCTCGAAGGCGCAGACAGTGGCCCGGGTGTTGATATGCGACAGATCCGCCGCCACTCCTGCCGTATTCCTCAGATCGTTCAGGGTCAGTGTGGAGATGTGCGGATTTTGCTTGAGCAGCAGGGCCAACGGCTGTCCAATGCCACCCACCGCACCCACGACGGCGACCTTGAGGCCGCGCCTGTAGTCACCGCATCCAAAGCGAAAGGCCTTGACGGAAGGCTCTCTGGTCCAATGGGCCAGCAATCGAAGGGTTAACATTTTACAATTTTTATACTAACTGATTGGAATTCGAGTGGTTAGCCATGTACCCAAAGGGGAATTAAAAGGCCAAGAAAATGTGATCTACCTTCTGTTGTGCTTTTATAATTTTTAAACAATTTTTGTTACGAATAAAAAATTTTTCAAACATTCTTGTGAGTCTTAAAAAAGTTCAATTGTAAAGTAAAATGCTTGTGTACCAATAACGTTGGGTAAATAATAAATGGGCCACTTGAATAAGTTATGTATTTTTTTAATGAATAAATTTCATTAGTATCACTTCTATTTAACTTATATTTTCAAATTAATATGAAACATTCTTTATTGAATTTTTTTAAAATTCAGCAAATTAATGCGCTAATTAAATTTATTTTTTTTGTTTTTGTTTATTTATTTAGTTCTTCTTCCTAACGCTACAAGTATAATATTTATAATTTATTGCGCTATCGCTTAGCTGACCTTAAACTATGTAGTAGTTTCTGTGAAAATACTTGGAGGTCTTAAATCACCGATTAAAATAGTACCATGGCGCCTTTTTGTGCGCACCTTAAAGGTGGCCGTGGTGGGCGCCGGCGGAGGAATTGGGCAACCGCTATCGGTGCTCATCCGTCGCTGTCCTGGAATCGATGAGCTGGCTCTTCATGATCTCTCGGAAATGAAGGGAATCGCTGCGGACCTATCGCATGTCAGTCAGAAGGGAAAGGTGATGGGATTTACGGGAGAAGATCAATTGGAAACGGCGTTAAGTGGAGCGGATGTTGTGGTGGTGGCCGCTGGAATGCCACGTCTACCAGGAATGCAAAGGGATCACCTGATGGCCGCCAATGGCAATGTGGCCGTAAAAGTGGCCACTGCCGTCAGCAACGCTTGTCCTCGAGCCCCCTTGGTCTTTATCCATGGAAGCTATGATCCGCGACGCCTTTTCGGTATTACCACCTTGGATGTGGTGCGCTCGAAGAAGTTCATTGGCGATTCCATGAAAATAACTCCGGATGAAGTTAGCATCCCAGTGATCGGTGGCCATGCAGGCATCACAATTCTGCCGCTTATATCACAGTGTCCCAGTGTCACAGTCCCTTATTTAAGGGCGGTCAGAAGGAGATCCGGGAACTCACCCATCCCATCCAGGAGGCGGGCACCGAGGTGGTCAATGCCAAGGCTGGCAAGGGATCGGCCACCCTATCGATAACATTTGCCGGCGCCAGTTTCGTGGATTCCCTGCTGCGCGGATTTGGTGGTCAGGAGGGAGTGGTCGAGTGCTCTTTTGTGGCCTCGCAATTGACCGATGCTCCCTTTCTCGCCAGTCCTGTGGAATTGGGAAAGGATGGAATCAAGCGATATTTACCACTTCCCCAGATGAGCGACTTTGAGAGAGAGGCTTTGGAAAATCTGCTACCCATTCTACGTCAAAATGCCGAGGAGGGGATTGATTTTGCCAAGAAATCTTGAAATGAGAAATTACTTTCACCTATCCCAGCGGCTTTACCATGAAGGTAAAAATATTGTATACTTTAATATCTGAAAATAAATGAGATATATATTTAATTCTGAGCATATATAATATTTGTAAGTCACTAAAATATACAAGCAACTTTTTATATCCTATTCTACCAAATGAAAAACATATTTACATTTTATTTGTTAGTTTAATTATACCCGTTACTCGTAGAGTAAAAGGGTATATTGTATTCGTGCAAAAGTATGTAACAGGGAGAAGGAAGCGTTTCCGACCCCATAAAGTATATATATTCTTGATCAGGATCACTAGCCGAGTCGATCTAGCCATGTCCGTCTGTCCGTCTGTCCGTCTGTCTGTCCGTCTGTCCGTCTGTCCGTCTGTCTGTCTGTATGAACGCTGAGATCTCAGAAACTATAAAAGCTAGAAGATTGGCATTTTGCATGCAGATTTTAGGAATTCCTACGCAGCGCAAGTTTGTTTCAAAATGGTGCCACGCCCCCTCTAACGCCCACCATCGCTTATATACGATTTTAAAAATTTTAATATTTTGGAAAAGTAAAAATGCAGTTTTATTGTGTTTATCAATACCTATCGAAATGTAGAAGAAATTTTTCAAATCGGACCATTCGTTAAAAAGTTATGCGTGATCAACGTTTTCTATCTCTATCTCCATCTCCCTCGCACTCCCTTTACCTGAGTAACGGGTATCTGATAGTCGGGGCATCCGACTATAACGTTCCCTCTTGTTTTATTCTAGTTTGGATAAATGCTATTTTCCTTTGAAAAAGCAACTGGGAAAATCATTTTATCCAGGCAGCTGTTCAGCTTTTCGTTGCTTCGAGGCAGCCTAGAGTCTAGAAAATGGAGAAAAATTAATCCTGAGTTTTGTCATTGGCAACCGAGCGAGTGAAGGGATAAGTTTACTTGAACATTTCCGAAAGCGGAGGGGGATCTTTAAATTCATTTGGTTTTATTTCTGTTTAAATGGCCGCAAATAAATTGCGGCCAAAATATTTCTGTGGGCCAGCGTATATCGTCTGGCAGTAAATTACATTTGCACTGAGACGCTCTCAGCCCGACCTGCTAACAAATTGCTTGGCCATCTTTGTACACCCCATCCCCATCCCCTGAAACATCCTTCCTATATGTGGCCCCCAAAAGTAGGCAGCAATTTTCTTCACTTTATTTCACACTCGCCCCGTAAAAACGAAAAACACATTGGGTGTGTCCATTTTATCTTTTTGTCCCCCACCTACCCCACCCCAAAACCGAAAAAAGAAAGTGGGTGGCGTTGGCCTAAAACTTTCTTGCGACCCAGTTTCACTTTCACCCGGAGTTCAGTTCACCTGGCCAAGTTTTTGGTTTCAGCGAGCATGTGTGTGTGTGAGTAATTTCACTATTGCGGCTGCATTTGTTGCTGCCACCCATTCTGACAACAAGATAAATTAGGCTCAGGCTGTTCAGACAGCATGTTGGCCAGAAAATGTATTTCCGAATAACAAAACATGGGCCCAAAAGAAAGGTGTCCCAGCTAAGTGGCTTTCCAAGTCATTATGTTGCTAAATTAAATGGCATCAAAAGATTCGACTCTGAAAATGGGAAAAATTGTCTTTTAAATTTCTATTCAAAGGAATGCTATATTAAATATATTTTTCAGCCATCCTTTATGTTCCGTTTTTCCCTGTTTTGCTTTCCCAAAACGCTTTTCTTTTCTTTAACTGCCTCATAAATTTTCGCTTTCTGGCCTCCGGGCAATTTGTTGGCATTTTGTGGTCATATATTTCATATGCAACACTTTCCGTTCATGGGTTAACTAATTGCAGGAAAAATCTAAGCCACATCAGCAAACAATTTTCGGCCCAACTACTTTACCGACTTTCCCGCAGCTCTCTCTTATTTCGAATCTGCTTTCTATTTATTTGGACACAAACTTTTTGTGGGTCATGGCGAGTGTTTACCTGAGCCTCGCAAAACTTTATTTATTAGCCAAAGTCATTTGGTCCCGAGACTTGAGTCCTCTTCCGCTGTTGATCTTTCTGGGGCATATTAAAAAAGTTGCCAAGTGGCAGAATCATAATACTAGAACTGGGTTTTTTATTGGTGAGTATCGGTCGGCTTTTAGTTTTACCCACTTCTATTAAAAGCAGCCATCGATAAATGTTCCATTTCCTTATTTATAATTAAAGGCTGTATTTTTCGCCACTTCTTTAACACATGCTCCTCTCTCACAAAGATTTATAAGTCACATCCCCTTTTTTGGCAAATTGCGAACCCAAAATACGAATCTGAGCGGACCCGCTTATCAAAACAAATAAATTCCTCGGGCTAAATGTGCTCATTTATCTTAATTTAGCAGTTTAGAATGCCAGGCGAGTTGAACAATAATTTTTCACACTATTTTCATAGATCCTTGTCAAAATAGGATAGCGCCTCAGGCAGCCGGAAGTCCGAGCAGCTGGTCCAAAGCTGCCCGGAGCGTTTAATTTCCATGGAGCTGCACATAAATTTACCAGTTGGCTGTAATTTCTGGCTGGGATTCGAGATTGGGAAGGAGAACGCAACTCCGCAAACCTTTTTGCGGGAGTAAACAAGTTGCAGCTTGGAATTCGCTTTCGATGCGAATTTATGGCCATTGCCCTCACCTTTGGCCAGCGTTTGTTTTCCTTTCTTTTTGCTGGGGTAATTTATTTCTCGGGCGGCCAAAACAAACACGTTAATTTCGCAAATTAGCAGCATGTGTTGTATGCCCCTCACCGGCGCTTAATTAGTTTAAAAGGCCCGCCGGGCGGATCGATAAGTCCAACAGTTGCGAGTTGTCTGAGTTGGATGGCCCCATAACTTTGCTATACTTTTGCACTTGTCAGCTTGTCCAGGACGAAGGAGATGAATTGGAGCGGCGGCCACTGCCAAGATTCTGCCAGGAGTCGATGTAGTGGCCCTTGGCTCGTGGATCTCCATAAATTCCTGGCCAGAAAGGCGCTGGCTGCCAAAACTATTACTCACACTCCTCCTCCGCCAAACGGCGACGACGGACGGGTAATTCAAATTGTCCATTACGCGCAGCTGCCGCTCGATTTGAGTCCTTTGGCAATTGGCCGGGCACTCGGGCGGGACTGCGAGTCCTGCCAACTTTTCCGCCTTTGTTTGTCTTCATAAATTTTACTTTCAAAGGGAAAGCTGAATTTCAACCGAATTTAAGTCAGTTCGTGGCAATTCGGCGGCTAATTGCGAATCAACAGAAGCTCGATTAAAAAGAAACGCCCGGGCCAATCAATAAAAACAATTGAAAAGCAATCAGAGTTTAATTACCGCAACAAAACGCTGATGAGACGTCGACAGTAAACAGAAAATCCCGCACGAGGAGCGAAATCACCAAACCATAAATCAATAGCAAACAAAAACGGGGAGCAGCATATATCCTTGGATATCCTGGGGGCATGGAGCATATGAGGCGCAACCAAGTAGACCGCAGAATAAAGGCAACAATAAAAGCTGGCAATAGGACGGAATCGTAAAAGAGCGGGGGCCACGAGGATGGCCATAAACAAAGAAGTAAACAAGCGGCAAGTACAATACACATGCTCAAACATGCAGGCACATGTACGTCTGTACATAAAAATGTCTCCTTGGGTGGACTTCCGCCGGAAATGGAGTGCAGAACGAGCAGCACTTGTCTGCTGATATCAGCAGCAGCGATAGACGAGCGCATAAAAGCCTGCTAACCAGCTCAAAGGCATCATCATTACGAGCTTGACACGAATATAAAATGAATAAATAAACAAATGATGTGCCAGCTGAATACAAAGCTGGGAAATATTTCCTTAAAATGTGTCAAGGATGTAAGAATGCCTTTTGTTTAATTTCTGATTAGCCTATTGATTTATCTGTTATGTTTTAGACATTACTAAAGAAATGATTGAAAAACAAGCAAATAAATGTTTTTAAATCGAAATGATTGATTTTATTTGAGTTTCGTAGAATTACGATAAATTCATGAGTAAATTTAAACCAAAATCCAAAATAAAAGTAGTCGAGGTTACACTTAGGCCCGTTTTCTAGTCCGTTTGCTAAATTTAAAGTAGGGTTAAAACCTTAAAATCGTATGGAAGATCAGACTTTTAAACTTACTTTAAATTTAACAGGCGGACGGGAAAATTGTGCTCAAATTTTCTGTTAAATATTTAGCATTCTAGCATTAGTAGAAAATACTAAAAAAATACCAAATAAAAAGTTGCAGGGTTTTTTATCAACACTATAATATCACTGGGCCCTAAAAAACTATTACTCCCTGACAAATACTTCTGACAAAGTATACATTCGACTTGTACTCCCGACATATAACTTGTCAGAAAAATCCAGTTGACAGTCGTGTATTGTTACAAGCCAAAATGGATGAAAAACAACTTTTGAAGATGCTGAAGAGGGATATTATCGCTGAAGTCGAAGTGGAGAGGGCACAGAACGCACCGAAGCTTGAGCTGATCAACGAAAAACTTCAACAGGAAATGCTGCGCAAGGAAGTGCATACGATGAGGACCAAGAACGAGGAGATGCGCCAGAAGTTGGCCCTGCAGGATAGGGATCTAAAACCCTTCATCGATATGGAAAAGCGGAAGCTGTTGGACAAACTGGACGAGATAGCAGATGAAAACAAATGTTGCCTCTGCGCGCTGAAGTTTGAGTCGGGAGGCAGCCATCGCCGAGTTATTTTAAAATGCGGACACATTTTCGGACAGAACTGTATTTGTACCTATTTGAAAGCGGACAAAAAGTGCCCCGTCTGCGATTCTCTGGCTTACTTATGCGATCCTCGTGTTATTATAACTGGTGAAATTCTTTACACACCCCTTTCGAATTGAGGATAAAAATGAATAAAAATAAATAAAGATTACATCATCATTACGAGCTTGATACGAATATAAAAGGAAAAAAGAAACGAATGATGTGGCTACTGAATACAAAACGTGCCAAAGATTTCAAAGAGCCCTTGTTTAATTTCTGATTAGCCTATTGGTTTATCTGATAAATAAAGTAATGATTGACAAATAAGCAAATTAATTTATGAAAATTGAAATTTTTGATTTTATTTGATAAATTCATGAGTAAATTTAATCAAAAATACTAAATAAAAGTAGTCTGCTCAAGCAGCTGTTGGCTTTTCCCAAGGATTCATTTAATATTGCTCAATTAGGACCTGAAATGCAGTGTACCAAATACCAGTTCCAATTCAGTCATAATCGAAATCAGGATGCAGTTGCACGACTATATGAAGTATATAGACAGGGGTTGCTGGATGGCGCTCATACCACGATATCAGTGGACAGGACGGCCCACTGATAGGAAACCATATACCTGGAAAAGAAAGGCTCTGCTTGTACTGGGAATCATTTGTTCGATCTATCAGATTTTTGGAGTGATAATCTACTGGTATCGAAATGGACGTAAGGCAGAGGATACGGCCACTTTTGTGACGGAAATATCGGAAATGTGCGGATCTCTTATGCTAACAGTTGTGGGATTCGCGAATATTTATTCACTCATCAAGAACCGCTCGGAAATCGAGGAAATGTTCAAGGAACTCCAGGAGATATATCCGAGATCCGGGGACAGGCACTATCAGAGCCAGCACTACTACGATATGGCCATGGTGATAATGAAAATTGAGTTCTGGTTCTACATGGTCTTCTATGTGTACTACAATAGTGCCCCTCTGATGCTGCTGCTCTGGGAGAATCTGCAGGAGGATCCAGAGCTGAGTTTTAAGACGCAGACCAACACTTGGTTTCCCTGGAAGGTCCATGGATCTGCGATTGGCTTTGGACTGGCCATACTCAGCATAACCATGGCCTCGTTTGTGGGCGTGGGATTTAGTATAGCCACCCAGAATATAGTCTGCATATTTGCCTTTCAACTGAAATTGCACTACGACGGAATGGCCAGTCAGTTGGTAGCACTCGATTCTCGTCGGCCCGGGGCAAATCAGGAGTTGAGGAAACTGATTGCTTACCATTCGCGCGTTCTTACGATCGGCGACCAGTTCAATGAGATCCTGAACTTTGTGTTCGGTAGCAGCCTAGTTGGTTCCACAATCGCCATTTGCATGACCAGCGTGGCTGTCCTTCTACTCGACTTGGCCTCCGCCTTCAAGTACATCAGTGGTCTGATTGCCTTCGTCCTTTACCACTTTGTCATCTGCTACATGGGAACTGCGGTCACTTATGCAGTAAGTTCTAGTACTAAGAAATAGCCCTAAGATATTCGTAAGACAGCTGCACTTAATGGTAAGCGGAACAGTTGTCTGTTCTCAGGTTCTCTACTATAGCTGCTTAAAAATTACCCAATTAGTTCTGCTATGGTGATGTAAAAAAAGTGATAGGTCTTTGATGCATTATCAAGCCTCTTACAGTTTTGCACAGAATGCCGTTGATTCAATATATGAAGTATTTAGACCGGGCCTGTACGATAGGCTTTGCACCTCGCTTTCAATGGATTGGAGGGCCAACCGATAGAGATCAACAAACAATGATCTGTAAAATTATCTTCAAACTTGCCGTCGTTTTGTTGGTCTACCAGGTTTTCGGTATAATTACCTATTGGTTCCTGACTGGTTGGACCGAAAAGGACACCGTTAAGTTCATTACAGAAGTGTCAGAAATGTGCGGCTCACTTATGTTAATCATTGTGGCATGCACCAATGTATACGGCAACACAAAGAACCGTCCCAATATTCAGGAGCTTTTCGCTGAACTTCAGGCGATATATCCGAAGCCAAAAGATAATCACTTTCGGACCCAGCACTACCAAAATGTCGCGCTCTTTACCATGAAGTGTCAGTACATATTATACGTATTCTTTTATATGTACTACAATGGAGCACCACTTTTACTGCTTCTGTGGGAGTTTCTAATGGATAAGCAGAACATGAGTTATAGAACGCAAACAAACATGTGGTTTCCTTGGAAGGTACATGGTTCACCAATTGGATTCGGAGTAGCTATTCTGGCACAAGCTCTTGACTCTCTTGTGGGCGTTGCCTTTGCTGTAAAAACCCTGAATATTATTACCATATCTTTGTTCCAACTAAAACTACACTTTGACGCCTTGGCAAGTCAGCTACTTCATCTGGATTCTCGCCATCCTGGATCCTATCGAAAACTGAAGAATCTAATAGCCTACCACTGTCGTATCCTCGAGATTGGGGAGCTAGTCAATGAAATCCTGAACTACAATTTCCTGAGCAGTCTAATTGGATCCACAATTGCCATTTGTATGACGAGTGTTGCCATCCTGCTACTCGACGTGGCCTCTGCATTTAAATACATCAGTGGCCTGGTAGCATTCGCTCTCTACCACTTCTTCATCTGCTACATGGGAACTACGGTCGCCTATGCTGTAAGTTGTAATCCTTATAATAACTAGTGAGAATGCTATAGTCGAGTGATCCGGCTAGTTATCCCTTTAAGCGTAGGTAATACTCTACTTATAAGCTTAAGATATGCACTCCTCTAAACGGTAAGCGGAACAGTTGTCTGTTCTCAGGTTCTCTAATATAGCTGCTTAAAAATTACCCAATTAGACCTGCAGGCTGACGTATAAAAGACTTGGTACTTCTATACATTATCAAGTCTCGCCCAGTTTTGAACAGAATGCCGTTGGTTGACTATATGAAGTACTTAGACCGGACCTGTAAGATAGGACTGGCACCGTGCTTTCAATGGATCGGAGGACCAAAAGACAGGCCCCAGCAGACGACGATCAGTAAAAATCTCTTCTCACTTGCGGTCATTTCATTGGTCTACCAGTTGTTTGGTATAGTTACTTATGGGTTCCTGTTGGTTCAGACGGAAAAGGACACGGTTAGGTTCGTAACAGGACTTTCTGAAGTGTGCGGTTCTCTTATGTTAATCTGTGTGGCGTGCTCCAATGTTTGGGGACTCACGAAGAACCGTCCCTATATTGAGGAGGTGTTTGCTGAACTTCAGGTGATGTATCCCAAACCAAAGGATAAATACTATCGCTCCCAGCACTATCGAGATGTGGCTCTCTTCACCATGAAGTGTCAGTACATACTGTACATCATCTTTTATATGTACTACAATGGTGCGCCACTTTTACTGCTTCTGTGGGAGTATCTGATGGATAGGCAGAACATGAGCTACAGGATGCAAACCAACATGTGGTTCCCTTGGAAGGTCCACGGCTCACCAATTGGATTCGGTGTAGCTATTCTTTCTCAGGCCCTTGCCTCAGTTATAGGCGTTGGCTTTTCTCTGAAATCGTTGAACATAATCTGCATATTTACGTTCCAACTGAAACTTCACTGTGACGCCTTGGCAAGCAAGCTAGTGAGTCTGGACGCTCGACATCCTGAATCGTTTCGGAAATTAAAGAATTTGATCGTCTATCACTGTCGTATTCTCGCGATTGCGGAGCGAGTCAATGAAATTTTGAACTCCTACTTCCTGAACAGTCTCATTTTTTCCACAATTGCCATTTGCATGACAAGTGTTGCCATCCTGCTACTTGACTTTGTGTCAGCTTTTAAGTACATTAGTGGTCTGATTGCATTCGTCCTCTATCACTTCGTCATATGCTACATGGGATCCGCGGTCACTTCAGCGGTAAGTAAGCCTGTCTCTATGGTACTATTCTAATAATAATATGTTCATATTTTTGAATATATTTTTGCTCAGTGGCGGATCTAGGATTTTGTTGTGGGGGGTGATATCAGAACAATTTTTGTTGCATTTTGTTGTTATATTTTTGCTGTAACTTAGCCAAAAATGGTCTTACACCAAAAATTCAAACTATTTTGAACAGATAACAAAATAATAAATAAATCCATGACACTTTCCGTGTGATTTTGAAAAAATAAAATTTTCGCCAATTTTTACATTTTTTATAAGGGGTTACATCATAATTTTTTGCGAAAAATAGCAAAAAAATTAAATGTCCAGGTTTTAATGCCAATTGATTGGAAATTTAATAACGAGTTCAGAAAGGTATGACAATCCATATTTGGATCAATATTTTCGTTGTGTCCGCCAAAAAAACTCTTTTTTTTTGGAAATTCGGGATTTTAGTTTTTGGCATTAATATGATTTTTTTATTTTTGTTTTTTTACTGTAACTTGGCCAAAAATGGTCTTACATAAAAAATACATACTGCTTTAAACAGAAACCAAAATAATAATTAAATCCATGACACTTTCCTTGTGATTTTAAGAATATAAAATTTTCGCCAATTTTCATTATTTTGTGTTGTGCATACTTTTTGAATAGCAAAATTCCTTTCATTTTTTCACCTGAGTGTGTTGTGATATATTACCCATAACACACCCCGTGGATCCGCGCATGTTTATGGTATAAATACTGTGAGCCCCTGTCGAAAAAACCCTCTTTTAAGTATTTAGAAGTAAAGTTTATCTACCTAATATTTTCTTTGCCCAACTAATGACCCATCACTGTTGTACACAATACCATGTAATATGGTTAATCAAAAGCAGTTGTCTGTTCCCAAGGCCTCGTGCAAAGCTGATTAATAATGATTCAATTAGGTCTTGCAACCTGCAGTATAAAGGTCCGAATATTTCGCTGCGTTATCGAGTCACTTGCCGTTTAGAACAGGATGCAGTTCCACGATTATACAAAGTACTTGGACCTGGCCTTTTGTATGGCCATGGTTCCGCGCTTTCAATGGAATGGACGGAATGAAGAAAGATTTCCATATTCGAAGGCCAGAAAAGTGTTCTTTATTTCCGCAGTTACTTTGCTAGCTTATCAGAATGTCGGACTGCTGTTATATGGCAACTGTCGAGGGAAAAATCTGAAGACATGTTAAGTTTCGTGGCCGGAATCTCAGAGTTGACTGGAACTCTGATGCTCACCGCTTTTGCTCTCTGCAATGTGGGTGCCATTACGTACTATCGTCCTCAGATTGAGGCGGTACTTAAAACCTTCGAGGATCTCTACCCAAAGACTACGGATGAACACTATCGCTGCCAGCACTATTACGATTTGGCCAAAGGCCTAATGAAAGTGGAGTGTACCTATTATTTGGCATATAACATGTACTTCAGCTCCCCTTTTGGGACTCCTCTGCGAATATCTTATGGATGGAAAGGAACTGAGCTACCGATTACAGATAGACACCTGGTTTCCCTGGGAAGTCCAAGGTTCGGCATTTGGATACGGTACAGCTTATCTCTGCATATATATCCCTTCGATTGTTGGCGTGGCATTCGCCATGATTACTCAGAATATAATATGCTTATTTACCTACCAATTGAAACTACATTTTGACGCTCTATCCGATAAATTACTCACCTTGGACTCTCGCCATCCCGCCGCCAATGAGCAGTTGATTAAGTTGGTCGACTACCACTGCAGGATTTTGCAGCTCGGCGAAGAAGTCAATGGAACATTGAACATCTTCTTTTTGGCCAGCTCGGTATTTTCCACTATTGCCATTTGCATGTCGAGTGTGGGCTCTGCCTTCAAGTACGCAAATAGCCTAGTTGCCTTCGTCTTATACAACTTTATTATATGCTTCCTGGGCACTGAGGTCACTTTTGCGGTAAGTTAGGGAATATTATATACTATACTATATGGTATATTAAAAGCAGTTGCCTGTTCTCAGGAACTCTAATATAGAATAACTCAATTAGGGCCTGCAGTCCGTCGTATAAGGGCCTGCATATTGCGCAATGGATTCAGTCACGGTTTAGAGCGGGATGGAATTTCAAGACTATTTCGAGTATTTAGACAGAAGCTGTCGTTTTGCAATGGTGCCGCGATTTAAGTGGAGTGGGCGGCCGGAGGAGAATGATAACCACCCGGTGTTCAGAAGGTCCTTTTACTTGCTGGGCACCTTTTGCCTGGGCTACCAGTCTATTGGTGTAATGACCCATTGGCTGCTGTTTGATAGGAAGGCCCAGGATACCCAAAGTTTTGTGGCCGGAATCTCGGAGGCTACTGGAGCACTGATGCTTGTGGCTGTGGGATTTTACAACATATGTGCCCTTTCGCATCATCGCACGGAGATCGAGTTGCTGCTTACGGACCTAATGGAACTTTATCCAAGACCCAAAGAACGACTCTATCGCCGGGAGCACTTCCACAGTTTGGCCAATGGCTTGATGAAATTCGAGTTTATATACTTCTGGATGTTCGCCCTGTACTACAACGGTGCACCACTGGTGGGTTTACTGTACGAGCATCTGATGGACGGAGTGGAGATGAGCTACAAGACCCAGATAAACACCTGGTATCCCTGGAGGGTCCATGGATCGGCAATAGGATATGGCCTGGGTCACTTTGCCACCTGCATCGCCTCGATTGAGGGCGTGGCCTTCTCTTTGGGCACTCACAATATTATCAGCATATTCACCTATCAGTTGAATTTGCACTTTGATGCCATAGCCAATCAATTAGCGGAACTCGACTCCCGTCATCCCGATGCCAATCGGGAGTTGAGAAGGCTAATCGCTTATCACAGTCACGTTCTTCGGATTGCCGATCAGTTTAACGAAATAATGAACTTTTCCTTCCTTGGCGGCCTGCTATTTTCCACAATCGCTCTTTGTATGACCAGTGTGGCAATTTTACTGCTCGATTTGGTTTCGGCCATCAAATGCGTCAATGGTCTAGTTGCCTTTATTGTTTACAATTTCGTCATCTGCTTCTTGGGCACTGAGTTCACTATGGGGGTAAGTTAAGGTTCTAAAATACTTTTTACTTATCGAAAAATACTAAAAATCAATTTCTAAAATTATCAAATTAATCATAACGACCAAAAAACCACATAAATCTATTTAAATGATTTTTTTTATTTAAACTTTAAAAAATACATTGAATTTTATATCAAATTTATAAAGGAGAATTATTTAATAATAACACTGTGCAGCATTTTTAGTGCTTTTTAAATTTACCTCGATGGATGCTATATTTTTGGATTCGTTACGCATTCCCAAGTTAAACTGCGTTTTCCAAAAAGTTCCCCGACGCAAGGATTCTTAGCAAAAGGACCTCAAAGTTCGAAAAATGCTGAAATTGGCCAACTTTGCGGAGCTCTCAGAGGCAAATGGATGCATGGTTTGATTCGATGTTAAAGTTTTTTAAAAGATACACCCTTTATCTTTTAAACCCCATACTTAAAAAATTTTTAAGATTTTTTTTAAGGCAGAAACAAATTCTAGAAAACATGGTCAAAAAACATAAAAGTATACAGCTGAGGTCAAAATGGTAGTAGTGTTGCCGCCCTGTGTATTTAAAAGTTTGTTGTTGTAATTGATCTTTTCCTGGTAATATTGTATTGATTATAATTTTACTATTAGACTAATTGGATAAGAAAAAATTACAACATCAAACTTTTAAAAACACAAGGCGGCGACACTGCTACTATTTAGACCGCAGCTGTTTGTTTTTCAGTTTTTTGACTATGTTTTTTGGAATTTATTTCTGCCTTAAAAAAAATCCTAAAATTATTTTATGTATGGGGTTTGAAAGATAAAAGGTGTATCTTTTAAAAAAGATACCAAAAAGATTACCAAACAGGTAATTAAAAATTTAAAGAAGTCACAAATTACCCAGACCTTCAGTCACTTCCCATTATGCATTTTGGATCACACGAATTTCCAAAAGACTCTATTAACAATCGGAAACAGTTGCACGTTCTCACCGTGAATTATCCCACCAATTATACTAACTCAACAAAGAAGACGGTTGCGTAATCCAGTAATAATTCAGTACGAGATGCAGTTAGAGGACTTTATGCGGTACCAGGATCTTGTGTGCCAAGCGGCCCAACTTCCCAGATTCGATTGGACTGGCAGGAGATCTTTGGAGAACAATCGCAATTTAGCGAAACGCATGATCTTTTGGTTCGGAGCGGTGAATCTGGTATATCACAATTTCGGATGCATTATGTACGCTTATTACGCTGATAGAAGTACAAAGGATCCCATGGATTACATAGCAGAATTGGCATCTGTGGGCGCAATGCTTGGATTTACCATTGTGGGGACTCTTAATCTGTGGAAGCTATGGACGCTTAAACCAAATATTGAGAAATTAATAGATGACTTCGAGGAGCTGTTTCAGATCACCAAACGAAGGCCATATCGCTCCCATCACTATTACGAATCGTACACGCGTTTCATAAGGAATCTGCTTATTTTCTTTACCCTCACCATTGCCTACTACAATGCACTACCTATTATTCTCATGACCCGAGAACTGCTGACGGAGTCGCAGAAGTTGAGCTATCGCCTGCAGAGCAGCACCTGGTATCCCTGGCAGTTCCAGGGATCTATTCCTGGATTTCTCGTGGCAGTCGTCTGTCAGGGCTTTTCGTGCCAAGTCAACTTGTGCGTCCTCATTTTTAGCCAGTTTCTGGTTAGCTTCTTTGGCATCCAGCTGGAAATTCACTTCGATGGCTTGGCCCGGCAGCTGGAGGCCATCGATGCAAGACATCCCAATGCCAAGGATCAGATGAAATCTCTCATCAGATACCAAAAGGAAATTTTTAATATGGCGGACAGGGTCAATGAAATCTTCAACTTTACGTTTTTCATTAGCCTCTCGATATCCGTTACTTGTACGAGTTCTTTGGCCTTCTCCGTTACCATGTTTGACTTGGGCCCCGCCCTAAAACACACGTTCGGTCTGTTAATATTCCTCATATATAATTTTTGCATGTGCCGCAATGGAACGCATTTAATTTTTGCGGTAAGTTTTTAATAATATTTAAAACAAATAGTGTGCCAACTTTATATCATTAACAACAAGCTCTTAAAAACACGATTGATTTCATTTAATCGATTAAAGGATAAACCATTAGTATATGTCTTAAATACTTTGTTCCTTGTACGTAGTCCACTTCTCTTTAAAGATTTAAAGGGGACTTAAAGCCGTAATTTTCCTTGCATGGGAACTCACAGAAATTTATAATTGCCATAATAATCCAATTAAAGCAGTTGCATGTTCTCAGGACATCATCGCTGGTGGGCTGATTGCCTAATATTCGCAAAATGGATTTTTTACCAGTTTATAGTGGCCCCTACAACGATGCAGTACGAGGACTTTATGCATTATGTTGAAATAGCCTGTCGATGGGCTCTGATGCCAAGATTTGAATGGAGGGGCAGGCAGTCACCGAGAGTCAAGGAAACATGGCTAAAGAAAATAGTTTTTATTGCCGCAGCCATTAACCTGAGCTTCTACAATATTTCTTTCGCCGCCTACGCCTATTTACTCGATCCGAAAACTACAGATCCCTTGATATATGCTGGAAAGATTTCCGAGGCTCTTAGTATGCTGGGATTTGTCGTATTGGGAACGCTCAACATGTTTGCGCTTTTAATCCTCAGACCTCAGATTGAGGATGTACTGGCTGAACTCCAGGATCTGTTTAACCAAAAATTACAGGATAACTATGCGATGGGATATCGCCTTAAGAAATCGACACGTTTGATGAGAAACTGCACTATATTATTTGCATTTTGTAATGCCTACTACAACGCAACGCCACTTATAACGATGGCTTACGAAATGCTAGCCGACTCAAAGCGAATCTGCTATGAAACACAAAACGAGACCTGGTACCCTTGGAAAATAAACGATTCGATTCTTTCATTCTGCGCCTCTTATATAAGTCAGGCCTTCTCTTCAATTATAAATCTAGGCACCATAGTAACTGACCAGTTATTGGTTCACGTCTGCACCATCCAACTAGAAATTCACTTCGATGGATTATCCGATAAACTGGAAAACTTAGACGCCAAAGATATAAGATCCAAAGAAAAACTCATAAACCTCATTTCTTACCATCAGAGACTTATAGATTTGGCAGGCAGCATTAATGGCATCTTTAACTTTACCTTTTTAATTAGTTTAACTACTTCCACGATTGCCGTCTGCTCGATGGCCTACAATTTGACCATGTTCGATATGATGAGAGCTCTTAAATATACGGTGGGACTTCTCTTATTTATGATCTATACTTTTTCCTTGTGTCACAATGGTACTCTGCTATCTTTGGCGGTGAGTGGTTAGAAAAGGGGAATTATAGAAAAGGATTATGGGTTTTTTACAAAAGTGTATTATTGTAGTAGTAGTATTTTAATATTTGATTAACTTTATCTAATGTTGTAGGTATAAAAATTGGATTTTAATGGCATTTCTTTCTTTTTTTACAGAGTGACAAAGTATTGCCAGCTGCCTTTTATAACAATTGGTATGAGGGTGATCTGGCTTATCGAAAGATGCTGCTAATCTTGATGATGCGTGCTACGAAGCCCTATGTTTGGAGAACCTACAAGCTGGCACCTGTATCGATCACCACCTATATGGCAGTGAGTTTTATCTAATTAAATACTGTTAATTTTTGTATTGCTTTAAATTAATTCACTTTCTTACAGACCTTAAAGTTTTCGTATCAAATGTTTACCTGCGTGCGCTCCTTAAAATAAAAAGGAAAAGTGCTTTAAAGAAGGTTTTAATTCTTACAAAAAAAATTTTTATCAAAATATCAAAACCAAAAAAATAGTAGAAATTTGTAGATGGCCTATCACTTACTTTTCTCTGCTTAAAATCAATAATTGTTATTTTCAAAATATGTAATCAAAATAAAATTAAACTGAAAACAGCATACGACTTTTATAAATATCAGTGCCTTCATTTTTTATTTTTAAATTTAATTTTAATTTTAATTTTATTGTTTTCCTATCCTAGCACAACAAGCGTGAAACTTATTTTTACTGCACTAGTCACTATGAACATTAAATCTTAAATTAATTACATTAATCAAAATCTATTACAAATACAGTTACAAGTTATTATTTTATTATTTTATTATGCCTTTTACTATTATATTTTATTTAACTACTTTTGTTTTATGTGAGTGTGTTAAAGTGTTGTTTAAGTTTAACACTAAATTTTAATGTGCCAGTAATGGTTTTTAAGGAATGCGGCAAAGAGTTCCAAATTTTTATGGCATATACAAGAAATTGTTTCTCCGAGCTTGCAAGTTTTGTTCTAATGCTTATTATATTGTTCGTCCTTTGTGAGGACGTAAATCGAATCATGTCATACAAGTAATCAGGTTGCCTGGAATTAATAATTTTATGAAGAAGAACTAATATTTTTAGGTCAATCCAGCTGTCAATATTCAAGTCAAAGATTTTTTTGGCGCCTTCAGTAACATGGTCATTCCTACCCAATTGGTATATGTATCTGGCTATATTATTAAATGTCACTTTTATTTTATGTCGACTTGCTACATCACAGGTACCAAAAACTTCAACTCCATAGAAAAGAGTCGGTATAACTAAAGTTTTAGCAAGTAATAACCGCATAGAAGTAGGCAGAAAAGTTTGTGTCGCATGTAATTGTCGCAACAATCCATATGTTTTTCCTGTGGCTGCTCTGACATGATCATTCCATGACAGGGTTTTGTTGAACAATATGCCCAGGTTATTTGCTTTCTCAACAAAGTCCAATTCTACATCTCCTATTCTAAGCTTTTGAAAATCATTTGTGTTTATATTTTTCTTGTAGATGACCAAGCACTTTGATTTCTTAGGATTTAAGCTCAAGCCATTCTTTGTAGCCCAGTTATCAACGTTAAACAAACAAATATTAGACAAATTGATACATTCATTAACTAAACTCAATGGTCGACTAACATATAATTGAACATCATCCGCATACATATGTACGTTACACATAGACAATTCATCAATAGATCATTAATATACATTGAAAACAATAATGGCCCTAATACCGATCCCTGAGGAACACCAAACATGACAAACATTTTTTTTGGCCCGAGGCTAATTAAAAATTCTTTAAATTCGTGAGAAAGCCCAAAGAGTTGACCCATTAACTTTTTCGCACTCGCTGCACAACAATGCAAAACAAAGGAAGCCCCGGAACAAGGCAATTTTAGACAGCATGAAAGACAGAAACCACGGGCTATATGTTGAAATATGGAGGGATTTTTGAAAGGAAGCCAACTGAGTGCCCGCTTCAGTGCTTTTCTGGCTGGAACTAAGCAAACTTATTAAAGCCAGACAAAGGTTGTCAGGGTGGCGGGTTTCGGGGGGAGCATCCAGGTTTTCATTTGCGAAATGCAGGAGCGTAAAATTAAGTTCTTTGCAAGAATTGCCGGAATTATGTACAAGTCACCTGGCCTGTCCCTTCGCCCATCGTTCGTCATATGCTGGGGCTGAGTGGCTGTGATGGGTGTGATTATCACGTCGTTATCCTGGATCAGTGGCAACGCCGTTGCCATCGCATTTTCCACACCTCCTCTCCGGCTCGTTCTGCGTCTTGGTGCTCGGACCCTTGTCCTTGTTTTATATAATAACATTTTAATTCCCTTAATACACGATACGCTGCCCGCAAAGCCAAACAAACTGAATTCCCGCCCAGGAGTTGTAGCTGTTGTCCTGTTTTTGCTTGCTTTTTTGGCTCGCCTCTCAAGTTGGCCAAGAATTTTGCTGTTTTTTCGGTTAGTTCGTTTGTGCGTGCAAATCATTAATCATGAGCAGCGCATATTTATTGTTCTGCTTTCGATGACAGCTTTTTGCTGGCCATGGATTTTGCACGTTCCATTTAATGCCTGCTCTTGCCCCGATTAAAGATTTAATATTTAAAATGCTGAGCGGAAAAATGCTTGTTTATTACAGTTATTGAAACTTTCAAAAGTGTTTGATCAGTCAGTTTTAATAATGCCTATTAAAATATACAATTAACTGCTTTATTTTTATGGCAACGACTTTAACAGACTTTAAATATCTTTGGAATTTGCCATCAAAGCTTTTCTTCTCTAAAAATCCTTTTTTTTTTAAATAAGCCATCGACTTTTAGTCCCTGGCTATCAGCATCTATTTTCGAACCAGTGATTATATGGGCTAATTGCAATCGGGCGTCTTTAGTTGTGCTAAGCCCTTCCAGCTGACAGCTCACAAAAGCACGTTTGGCAGTTAATTGAGTCATCAGCTTAGACAACAGCCGGGGTGGCCATATGAAAAAGATTGTGAATTGCCCAATCATGTGGAAGTGACTGCCAAGACCTTTAAAGTACACACGTCCCAGTGGCCAGGACAATGGCCAAAGGACTGGAGAAATCTGGCCGGAGGTGCCTAGCCACCCACCCAAACACAGAATCGACAGTCTATAAAAATGGACTAGGCCGGAGGAAGCAGAAGACAACTGCAGGATCATCATTGCAGGCATTTGCTCGTTGTTTACCCTGGGCTCGGGACCCACTTGCCCAGTCGCAGTCCGAGTCCTCTGACCATAGCCTTGATAAGTTTTTAGCAAACAAAGGCGGCTCGTTACAGCAACATGGGTCTTGGGAATTGGTCGGGCGAACCAAAAAACAAACCGAACGGAGCCAAACTGGGCTGAGCTGAGCTGCGATGTGCATTTAAAATTGCACACACAAAACATGAAAATTCCCACAGCCCTGCTGCCAGAGTCAAAACCACAAAATGTACTCAAACAACATGTCTCAATTTCGTAGCTAAACTTGCCCCATTCGCCGGGGGTCGAGGAATTGGGGGCTGTGGTCCCGGCCGAATCACCCCAAATGGTAATTGAAAATGTTATGTGAGATTGGTGGGGGGATAGGGATAGGGATAGAGATATTGTGGTCCACAGAAACGGCAGGACATAATTGGCTTTGGTTTGGAACCGTTTAAAAGTTATAGACTAGATTGTAACAATCTTGTCTTGAGGCTGTTTTGGGCAAATGCTCCGTTAAATTTTACAGTGGGAAGTTTCAAACGGTATTGTTTCAAATGGATAAACTTTTTATCCTTTTTAAATCCTCTAAAAACGAGTCCTCTTTAAGGTTTAATTTTCTTCAAAAAAAAAACCTCCTACCATAAATTAATTTTCAATATTCCTTTGGCCCCTTCTAAGGGAACCACTTTCAAAAGCTAGTCCGTTGTCCATCAATTACTTAGCCTTATCTGCTGGGGCCATATGGTGTCACCCCAACTTGCGGCCGAGGGGGCACAAAAAATGTAATAACAACGGGATGGCGAAATTTTTACACACAATTTAGACACATTTCCGCACGTAGTCGGAAAAGAGCCTAAGCTCCATGTGCTACTACCAAAAAAGCAAGCTGGAAAACAAAAGCCAAAGCAAAGCGAAAAGGAAAAACCGCCACTGCGGAAAGCGTCCAGAAATGCGACTGAGGGGAAATAATGTTGGTGGGTTTTCGAGCACAGAAAATAAGTTCTTAAAATAAGAAATGCCCTTTCTTAAACGTTTATTTATTAACCTAAAAAAACAAAATAATTATTTTAAAATTTATTGTAAAGTATATTTGAAAAGATTGCATATTAATGCTTATTATGATGAAAAATTATTTGATTTTTGTTTTATTTAAGTGTATTTGAAGCTCTGTATTATCCCATAAAACTCGAGGTAATGTGCTGGTTTTATTTTAGCCGGGACCTACTTGAAATAACGCTGCCACTTGCCCCCAAAAAATCTGTTAGCATTTGTGTCTATTAAGCGCGAGCAATAAACTTCATAAATTCCACAAATTAGAATGATTAAATTTCATGTCCATGTAATTTCTAGCCAGCAGACGTGCCCACTTTGCTTTTGGGTAATCAAATTTTTCACCGCCTGCCGACAAAATTAATGGAAAGTGATTTGGCAAAAGGCTAGGTCAACACCTTTGATCTGCTGGCTAAACGCAAATACAACGTCCTGTCATCGGCGGATTTAATCTATCAATTGAATAATTTTTGTCAATCTATCTTGACGGGGTAATCAGGTTCGAAAAATCGCCTATTTTACAAACACAAACAGTAGATATTACAGTCGAACTTCCGTAACTCAAACCACATACTCCACCAAAAGTATTTGAGATATTAATTAAATTTAAATTATATTTATTTCTCTGTTGATAATAAAACTAGATCGACTTACAGCGGCTTCAAGATAAAAAAGTTTGTATGAATTTTATAAATAAATAAAGGGAGAATTTTTAACAATTATTTTATCAAAGTTGTTGCTGTAATTTATATTACAAATCCTTTTAATGTAAGTGATGAGGACTGTGTATTTATCCAATATACCATGCGGCAATTGTCGTTTGTTCGGAAGCGACACAAATTGGTCATATGATGTCCGGCGATAATTATTGTCAATTTATTGAATGCTCATTATTGAAATATCACTCATACGCCACAGAGGCATGCTAATAAACCCATTGAAACGAACGTTCGATGTCCGCACCGAACTTTTAGAGCCGCAACCGCAACGCAGTTGCAACATTTGCATGTGAGCGAAAGATAAATGTTGCTGCATACAGCTGCGGTCATAATAATATGTGTTATTGAGCTGTCTGTTACGGTAATCCGAAGACCACTTATTTTGTCAAATTAAATAAATGTATAAATATTATTATTAAAGCCAATCTATGTATTATAATTTAAAAATGTGAATTTAAATCATTGGTTATAAATAACAAAACTAATTTCAATAATTAGAACACACATTTTTATTTACACTTTAAAAAGGTAAAAATATTTGTAATTCAATGAGACGATTTAAATTTTTTAAAATCATTAAACAAAGCAACTTATTTTTTATAGTAAAGATAAAATCGGATGAGCTTAAATAAAAATAGCATTGCCAACTGAATTTTGTACTTATTTTTTAACGTTCATAAGTGATATTGCTATTATTTTTACCGCAATGTAAATAGTGCTGTATCAGTAGTGAGTGTCAGGTCGTGTCTATGTTGCTGCGGACAGGATGACCGCGCAATCACGATGACGATGCCACCTATTTCCAATTACCGATGATGCTGAGCGAGCACCAACGACACATCGATTCGCCGACCTAGCCACCTACCCACCCATCAACCCACCAAACCACCGCCAACCACCCACCAACCCACCGTGGCGGCCATGATTGATTGCAACAAAACCAGATTTTGGTTGCTGTCATTTAAGAGCCGACTAACTTTCGAGCTGGCCGACACCCAAATCGATCCCTTATCGTTTATCGCTGCTCTCTCGACTACGCCGTATTTTTAATGCAGGCTATAATTTTAATTGCGCCCCGGCTGCATTTTTAATTAAACGCAAAATTAAAAATTGATTGCTTTTTGACGCCATAACTTACAGGGCGATAATGCCCCCTGATGCCACGATCCCCGGGTTTGGTATCTGTGTGGCACACTTTCGCAGCATTTAATATTATAAAATTTAAATCGAGAAGAGAGCCTTGCCAAAAAGGAATGCAAGTGGCTACGACGAGTATATGAAATTTGCATTTGCGTGGCACATGCAATGTGCGGATAAAGTTTGGCTATTTCGAGCTGGTTGTGTACTTTTTTCGAGTCCTGCCAGCCGGAAGTAAAAGGTTTTAAGCGGAAGTGCGCAGAGTTGCAGCGACATATTGTGTTTTCGTATATGTGTGTGTGTTTGTAATTATATGCCGGGGTCTGCTAAATGTTGCACAGACATGCAAAGCGACTCTTAGCTAGCTGCTAGTTTGTTTTCTGAACGAGGTTAAATGGGGTTTAGGGAAATATTTGAAACAGTTTCGGTTCTTCAAAATTTGATAAACACCATTCGGGCCATAAAGATTGTTCTGGAAGAAAAATGCTTTGTGCGCGAGCTTTTTTTAAATATATTTTTTATATAAATGCAAGATTGATTGCGTTTGAATAGCTGATTAAATTAAGCATGCAAAAATGGTGATTTACATAAAGGTTTTGTTGTTCGGCTTACTTGCATTTATTACTCCCCATCGAATGACTATTAACATTAAAATGCAGCAACTCACCAATCGACCTTTTTGGTATTTAATTAATGCCATTATAATATGGCAAATTAATGAATTTTAATTCGATCGACCAGCAACCGCACGGCAGCATTTAGTGCGGGAAAATTGAATGCGAGGACATTGTCAATATGCCAACTGAATGCACTTGATTAATTTGTAAGAATTCTTTAGACTCGCCCATCAATATTAATGGCTTGACAATAAAATTATTAAAATATTCATAAATATATTTGCGAGCATGGGTAGCCACTTAATCAATTCAATTTTCATTAGTGCTGTCATTGTTGGTTTTTACACTTTAAACTGTTTAATTTTAATAATAAAAATATTAATTTACATATTAACACAATAATGAGCACTTAATCAATTTAAAATTGGTAGATTTCAAGTTTTCTGATTTTTTGGTCAGCGTAAGCTTTTTGAATATTATCAATAACCCGTGTCTTAAAGTATATATTTTTCACATCATGAATTTCTACAGACCAGTTGGACCAAGGTGCGTCAACACTAAGGATGAGTTCACACCATTTACGCCGGAATACATGTACGATGAGTGGAAGGAGCATATGCCACACCTGCGTTTCAGACACATGGTGCGTTTTAGGAAGGTGTCGTTGCTTAAAAAACTAAAGCTCGTCCTTGAGATGAACGTCGGTCCGCATGCCAATGTCATAGTCGGCGACTCGGTCTACAAGTGCCAAGTTCTGCAACTTCTCGCCTACAGCACGCTCTTTAAAGACAACGTCCAGCGGAAAGATTTGTTCATATTACCCGAAAATCTGATGAGCAATGAGTGCTTTGAAATGGTCTACGGCTGGATGATTAGTGATCAGATATATTGTCCCCGCAAACTGTTGCTGGATCTGTTAGTCGCTGCAGAGCATCTGCAGTGTCAGTCCTTGGCCGAGGTCGTTTATAAGTACCTGGACGACCAGAAGCACTACTCGGAACTGAAAGCCTTCGCCTGCTTTTTGGAGGCCCAGCGCAAGGATATGATCAAGATGGCCGATATGATGCTGTCCAGGGTGGGCAAGTCCTTCCTGGCTCTAGTGTGCATGAAAGAGTTTTGGAATATGGATATCAACTGCTTGCGCTATCTGCTCAGTTCAAATAACCTGGCTGTGCAATCCGAGATTGAGGTATGATGTTTAAGTAAGAACAAATTGCTAATTTGTAATTAAATTAAATTTTTTTATGTTCCCAAGTAGAAAAATATATTCCTAACCTATTCCTATTAACATTATTTTAAATACAACCTTTTTATCCAGTTTCGTTTGGCTTACAGGTTTTCTACTCAGCTCTGTACTGGCTACTGTCAAAGTTCCGGAGGCGCAAAGGGTACATAGAAAATGTTCTCAGCTTGGTAAGGTTTCAAATGATGCCACCCGGATTTCTTCTTCTTTGGGCGCAAAATCTGAAAAATTTGCAGCCAGAACTTGCTGACCACATATGCGTCTGCATTGGTAATGCAATGCTGAAACAAGAGGAACATCATGAGGGCAAATTTGTGCCAGAATTGCATGGAAGGGATAATCGCAACTGGGTTCGGGATTCCGAGTGTCCGTATGAATATATACTGGATAGAAAAGGCTGCTACGAACTGACCGTTGAAGTATTCCTAAGATATATGCGGCGTATTCGGAAAACTCCCGGTACATTTCACAATCGCTTAACTATAGCCAAAGACTATAAAGTCTTATCTGCCAGGAAAGATTATTGCATATATGTACCTTTGAGTTTCGAAGAGGACTCCCGTTGTTCCTTGGAAACGGAAAATGATAATGATGGCTTTGTTTTCGAAGACTATTTCGATTTCTCTGATAGTGATATGAGCTCTGTTAATTCTAGTGAAGATACCTTAAGCAATTTTATGACCGATTCCGAAGAAGATAGCTCTTCAGAAGAAGATACGTGTTTTCTCCAACATTTAAGTTCCGATACGAGTTTCGTCGAGAATTCAGAAACTAATTTCGAAGCGGGTTTCGTAACGGCTTCAGAAACTTATTCCGAAACGAATTGCGAAAGTACTTATGAATCGGATTCTTCTCGGGATTCTTCACGAGATTCTTCTCAGGATTCCTCTGAGCATGCCCCACAGGACCCGTTCCAGGATTTCTTTCGGGGTTCCTCCCAAGAAAGCTGCGGTGATTCCGATGAACCTAGTCCATCTATCGCTGAATGCTTCTGCGCTGATTCTGAAACAGATTCCGCTAAAAGTTCCGAAGCATCTTCCAACCCAGATTGTAGAACAGATTCCAACACAGATTCTTCTGTAGATCTTTCATCCGAAAGCAATATTTATATACCCAACGTAAGCGATAGTTCCTCAGATTTTCAGCACGCAAGAATTAGTTCTATTGTTAGCCTATCGGATGATTCGTTGGAGTTCTTTTAAATAAAAACACATTTCCGCTTACATTTGTAGTCTTTTATTTAAGGGAGAATAGGTTAAGGTTCGCACTTCTCGAAACCGAAAATTCCTCCTTTTTTTTTTAGGAGGGCCAACGAGGAAGCACTTAAATTGGGCGTAACAAAATGTCTGACACGCCAATTATTTTGCTTTTTATATGGGACAGGCAGACAGACACTCTGACTACCGAATACTACTGCTTGTTGCTGTAACTACTCCTCCGGATCCTGCCATTTCTTCTGCTTCTGCTGTTCTGCGTGTTAGTTTTTATATGTGGGTGTCGGTGGCTCTCGGGAGTTGAGGGGTTGAGGGGTTAAGGGAAATTTTCTGCTGCTTGCTTTTTAAGTGGTTTTATTGTTCACTTGTTTGTACTGTTTGTAACAACTTCGTTACTTTATTTTCATTTGTATTTTCCTTTACATATTGGTTTAAAAGTCAGTGAGCCATGGCCAGCAACGAAGATGAGCTGCAATTTGCGATGCCAGATAGGTCAGCTTGTTGAGAAGTTGGTTGGGGTTTAACTGAAGTGAACTAATGATTGGCAATGCTTTAAAGTTAATAGAAGCAAACGAACTTCCTTTTACCTCTCGTTATTCACTTGATTGGATTTTTGACAAAGTTTTAATTAATTTTATTTGTTGATCTCGCTTTCATTGCCCAATCATAGCGTTGCAATCTATGCTGAGTTGCTGATGGAAAATATGAACCAAAACTCTGGTCTCTCCGGCTTTTTGTTTTGTAATGACAACCCAGCAATGCAAATTATTTGAAAACTTTTTAGACAAAGTTTTATTTTCGTGTATGTTATGAACGACAGGTTTTTATGGCCATGATTTGCTAATTACATTTTGTTTATTTGGTAATTGGAGTGCAGCCAAAGGGTTCATTAGCAGTGAGTGAAAAATTAAATGCCATGCAATTAGCCAGATATTTTTTGGATATCCTCGTATCTACGGATGCCATCATTACTGTCCAACAAGAAGGCAGTTTCAATTTGTTTTGTGGGCTTAGTGAAATGATTTATGGCTCATTTGCTGTCACATCGAATTCCTTAATAAAACTAATTGATATATGGCTGAATATTATTTCGGTAGGTAATAATTTCCGTTTTGGCAACTGCTAAAATATTGATAATTATTTGATTCCGGCGGGGAAGTACAGATTTATGTTTTACTATACTAGAATTCATCTTATATTTTGAAGAAGCTTGCATGTAAATATTTATTCCCCACATAAACAAGCTCAATTCATCAAGATTCCCTCGTCTACGTACTTGGAAATTTATACAACAGGTGAGCTATTCATAAGCACAAAAACCCTGGGACAAAAAACGTTTTGCACTTCGGTTCATTCAGCACTTCTTGCCGCTTTCCTTTGCGTAGCTTTTCTTCTGCTTCACTGGCCAAATGCGCTTTTCCTGCTCACATTCTTACATGCTGCCTTCTGCTGCCAGTTTACTGCTGACATTTCATTAAGTTCGCCCCCATTTGCCGTTTGATTTCAATCAGGAAATGGACGAGAGATTAGGGGTGAGTCGAGAGCCAATGACCCACATGCTCGTAGATGCAAAATTTGTGCCACTTTGTCGGACTTACTAATTAGGCATTATTGGTACGTAGCTCCGGAAACAAATTAGCACTCTGGTATTTTGAATTAAAAGCTCTGGCGATCGAAGAGCATCGAAAACGAGGCAGTTAATCACTGAATCCAATGGAGGGGTATCGGTATCGGTTCTGTACTTTCGGTTGTCAGGACACTGCCGACGGCAACCGGGAGTCGTTTTCGGCGCTGAAATGGGCGCCTGCGGTTCGAAAAAGGCCCAAAGCATCGGGACTTTTTGCCAGGCAACAAAAGCTGGCAATAGTAGCAGCGATAAATAGGAAATTTGCACTGAATTTGCACGCACGGCTTAATTGTTGGCCATGTTGTTAGGGCTCCGATGGCAGATTAAATCGGCCGTAACGCAAAACACAAGCGGACCGAGGGGAAATGTGACAAGGCCCGCTGGCAAATGAACCCGGGCTCAAAGCACTTCACTCTGAACCAGCCAATTGAGCCCCGACCACCGGCCATTCGCCATTCACAATTTGCAAGTGCAGTTTGGCGTAAATTTTCCAATTTCAACATTTCATTTTCATTTGCCAAATTTTATGGCCGTTTCGATATGCATAACATTTTGTCATTACCTGCAATTCATTAACGTACTTTGATGCCAGCCGTATTTTAATTGTCATTGAAAATTTTGATTATCATGAAACCGGAATTGTTATTAGCATTTGGTCATTTGTTTGAAAATATTTCATTTGAGTGACCACTTTGCATATTTGATCCGGAAATTCTAATATAAATAATATTGTATAAATACAAATACCGTTTTTAAATCTAATTAACAAATTTTTGAACACAACTAAGCAACAAGTTTAAAATACTTATTTTTTTAAGTACATTTCTTTTCATTGCTCACTTACGGTTTGGCCACCTAAGCTAAACTGTGTCATCCACCTCTGAGTTCAATAACCTCAAAAACTTAGATTTCCGGTCCCTCGTTCGGCCCTTTACAATGCAAATGCGGAAACACCGACAGAAGCTGGCTGGATGATTAAAATATAATTCCTGTGCCAGTCCAAAGTTGTGGAACATTTCCGCAGTTGCAAAAAAATTCCAGCCCTCCACCCCTCTTTTCACATAATGAACACATACATATTCATAACGCGCACGCACACACACACACATGCGTATGTGACCCACAGGTGTGTGCGTGTGTGTTCGAAAATATTACGACGGGCCTGTCTTCCTGCTTGTGACATAAATCTTGGGCAAATAAATAAAATCCAAAAAAAATAAAAAAACGACCCAGAGGAAAATGAAAGATAGAGCGAAGACAGTAAAAGCAAATGAAAACGCACGCGCAGCAGTAAATTTTCAGGGGGGCCAAAGAGGGCGAAGTGGAGCAAAAGGTGTTGGGGCAGGTGGGACATCATGAACACCTAGACGTGCCGACAATTTTTGCATTTAAATGCGAGCAATTTGCCGGCGCCAACTGAAAGAAGAAGCAAATGAACGACAAAAAAACTGTTGCCTACTTTCTGGGGCCATCGAGAAGAAAATGGCGTTAAACGGATGTGAATCATGTGCGGAACTCTCCGTACAAAAAAATTACGAAAAAAACGTACACGAATGAACCAAGGAAAAGTAAAACAGTCGAGTGGCGGAAGCACAAAATGAAAATGATAATAACAATGCGGTGGCAGGCGTCTTCAATTATTGAAAATGGTGCGATTTGCATGGTAAGCGTTTCATTTGACAGCGGAAGTTCATTAGCGCCATCTGGCGACGGGGACGCCCCTTGCCGGGGAGAAAGTGTGAGTGTGTGCGTGTGTAAATTGCATTTTCCGAGTATCTGCAACACTTAATTAGAAACCGCAAGTGGGGGAAAAAAATGTTGAAGAAGTGCAACATTGATTGTGGCTGCGGTTAATTCGGGTCTATTTGAAGGGTGTAATAGCACTTTAAGGCATTTAAAGAAATTAAAAAATAAGATGTATTCAAATCAGTGCTCTTAACATTCGTTTTGGGGCTGGAAAACATTATATTGTAAAAAATAATTTTAAAAACGTTAATTACCTAATTTTAATGCATTACAATTCATCTTTGTACAAATATTTAAATTTTGTAATTTTTGTCAATTTGCTTGTTATTTCTCTAAAAGTTATATTAGTCGTCAATGAGCATCCTTCAAGTCCGAACTGCAAGCATCCTGTTAGATTTGCGAAACGATAAAAGGACTCAGTGCTACCTCATTCAACATTAATTGCACAGCGGTTTTTCCAGAGTGGATTGGTCAATGGATTTTCCCATGCCCATTTTCGAATCTCCCTTTTCCCATCCATGCCAAGTCGAAGTTGATTTTATATTTCACTCGGTCGGCGAGCAGTTAAATCACCGCCAAGGCCACTTGGACGCGAAACCGATTGCTGATGCGAATGTGGCTGTGGCAGGCGTTCATCATCCGCGTCATTATCGGGTTTTCCACATTTGGCAAGCCGCCGAAAGATCGAGGGGCTGTTGGACAAAAAAAAAAGAAAAGTGAGACGCGGAAAAAGAGCCACGTGAAAAATCCCCTTGGCTGCCAAATGCAGCGGTTGCTTTTGCTTCAATTGAATAATTCGTATGATAAACGAGTGTGTTTGCCGGCGCGAGTTGTGTGCATTTTATATGCCCTCAGGCGTTTCGATTTCACTTTTTCCCCTACACATTTCAATGGTTTATCCTTGCGGCACTGGGCTGCTTTTAATGCCTCTGTCAAAATGTTTTCCTGCGCATAATTTTGTCGGCCATGCCTCATTTTGTTTATTTTGCGGATTTTTGGTTTTTTCGTAAACGCCGTAGGTTGTTTGTGACACCTCAACAGTATTGTTTGCTTCATAAACGTTAGCTTTTTGTAATAGGTGAGTGTGATTAAGTGCATATATGCATGTTATGAATAAAAAAGATTTTAGCTCTAAACGCAAAATTTAAGAATTTAATTAAAGTAAACCCACAAAACATGATATTAAACGATGATCCATTTAAAGTTATGTGGTATAAATGTTGACTTGATATGAAGGCACCCCGATTCGATATGCTCGAAATGTAGGCAACAGGCCAGAGTGAATTTCGAATGTGACTTTATCACTCCCACTCATGTACCTTTAAGCGCTATCTCGCTCTACTTCGAATTGAGAGACTTTGTACTTCTCGCTCCCACTCCCACTACCATAAATTTACCATGCGCATATCGAATTGCCCGCGACTTGTATTTTTTTGTGAGTACCCAAGAACAAAGAAGTTATATTGATTTCCCACAGATTGAATTAAGCTCCTCAGTAATTAGGCATTCTGCCCACCAATTGAATGGCTCAGCATGCAATTTGGTTAAATCTCCATTAAGTTCCGGCCAAAGAGCCAACCATAATCCCAGCCAGGTAGGAGCCGAGCATAAAGGGAATAAAATCAATAGAGCAGCA